AAAAAATTAAATCAGACTGTTCTCAGAGATCACCAGATTTCCAGATGATTTAAAAATTCAATAATTTAAAATTAAAAAATTTCAAAAAGTATAAAAGATTTCGATGTATATTTTTAAATTTTTTAAAATTTCATAATTTTTATATCATCTGGAAATCTGGAGATGTCTGAGAACAGTCCTACGATTTAAATTTTTTAAATTTTTAAATTTTCGGAGGCTCCGAAAAATTTAAAAAATATAAAAGATTGCGATTTAATTTTTAATTTTTTAAATTTTTCGGAGCCTTGAAAAATATATAAATTTTAAAAATATGAAAGATTTCGATTTATATTTTCAAAATTTTCAAAACTTTTCGGAGCCTCCGAAAATTTTAAAAATTCAATAAATTTTAATCGGACTGTTCTCAGAGATCACCAGATTTCCAGATGATTTTAAAAATTTAAAAACTTTTTAAAACTTTGAAAAGTTTCAAAAATATAAAAGATTGCGATTTATTTTTTTTAAATTTTTTAAATTTTTCGGAGCCTTGAAACATTTAAAGAATTAAAAAATATAAAAGATTTCGATTTATATTTTGTAAGTTTTCTTTTTTTTCAAAAATTTTTAAATCATCTGGAAATCTGGAGATGTCTGAGAACAGTCCTACGATTCAATTCGTTAAAATTTTTTTGAATTTTCGAAGGCTCCGAAAAATTTAAAAATTTTTCAAAAGTATAAAAGATTGCGATTTAAATTTTTTAAATTTTTCGGAGCCTTGAAAAAATTAAAAAATTCAAAAAATATAGAAGATTTCGATTTACTTTTTTAATTTTTTCTAATTTTTCGGAGCCTCCGAAAATTTAAGTAATTTAAATCGTAGGACTGTTCTCAGACATCTCCAGATTTCCAGATGATTTAAAAATTAAAAAAATTTCAACAATAGTATATTTAATATATATATATATATCCAAATTGATATAGTATATAGTTATTATTTATATATTTAATTATGTTAGCTTAAATGATCTCAAGGCAGACTGCGCGGCGCATAGGGTATACTCTTCCCTCTTACGGGTGGGGGGTGGGGTGGGGCAGTAAGGTTTTGTATATGGTTGCACGGACTAATGATTTGCGGTGGGTTGGGGGGGAGAGGGGTGGGTGGGGGGTGGGGCAGGGGCATTTAGCTTATGTGGATAGTTGCGTACCATGGAGGGCGGGGGGGGTGTGGGGGGTGTTGGGGCGCTTGTGAGAAAATCCGTTCAGAGCAGTTTTCCTGGCATTGCCATAGAGATACACGCGCTGGAGAGAGATTCCGGTCCCGCAGTTTCCGAATACAGCCGTCAAGTTTCCGAATACAACCGTCGAGTTTCCGAATCCAAGCGGTCAGTTTCCAAATACAACCGTGGAGTTTCCGAATACAACCGTCTCAGTTTCCGAATGCCAGTTTCCGAATACAACCGTGTAGTTTCGGAATACTAGTTTCCAAATACAACCGTGCAGTTTCTGAATACCACCCTTCCAGTTTCCGAATACAACCGCTTCAGTTTCGTTTCCGAATACAACCGCGCAGTTTCCGAATCCCAGTTTCCGAATACAACCGTTCCAGTTTCCGAATACAACCGCCGAGTTTCCGAATACAACCGTGGAGTTTCCGAATACAACCGCCGAGTTTCCGAATACAACCGTCCAGTTTCCGAATACAACCGTGACCCGTTGGGGGCGCCTTTGCCAGGAACTTTGTGCCGTCGCATGAGATTGCGACCTCGGGTGGTTGGCACATTGCGGACTGTGTCTCAAGGGCTTATGACCTCGAAGGCCAGGACTGACACGACTTCATTGAGGTGTTGAACCTTGACCGGTAGGGTCTCCCAACTAGGCCTCCTCGAAACCCTGTTTTTTCGGGATTTGTCATGTGGGTTTTCGACCGAGTCTTGCAGAGTGATGACTGATGACTGATGACCTTGAAAAGCAGATGCTGGTGATGTTCGACCTGCGCCGAAACGCGGGGTGAGTGGAGGCATGCAGGTGGGCACCGTGGGTGCCGGGCGGATTGGCCTGGCGGTGCTCCGGCGGCTGATACTTGGCAGATCTGGATCTTCATGCACCAAACTTCAATCAGGATCAAGAAGGACGACTCAATAAGGATCAGTCAACAAAGATGAACTAAAACATATGATGACAACGCCAAGATTGGAGATGTGATCAAGACTGGAGATGTAAAGGGTTTTCGTAAATCAATGCATAGACCTGCATAGATATAATTTTTGTCATCAACACCCATATACGACCCATGGAATTGGCGTAGCGTTCAAGGGGGCCCAAGGGTGGTGTATTTCGTCCTTGAAACGCCTATGATGTCCATCCAACCCGCAAGCGAATGTTCGACTCGAAGAGTTTGAATTCGGGCAGATTTCTGTGATTTTCAACTCCAAAAGCGGTAGATTCTCTGGATGAAACCTGTGGAGTGGTTGCATTTTGCGGCGTTTTGGTTTGGAATGCAGCCTTGGAGAGCCAATCAACTTCAGCTGCTGCACGAACTGAGAAAACCCTTCGACACCAAACTGCATTACTTTGATCAGCATCGGCTGTCAGCGCCCCGCCAAGAGGGAGTGGGTGGGGGATTGGGCTGGAGTGGGTTTCAGGATGGAGGTTGACACATATGAAGTTTTTGTGTCAGGGAGGGGGCCGTTTCCCCAGCATTCGCGTCTGACCAGTTCTGCCAGGTCTTTACACTCCAGCTATTTTTGGGTGAGTCCGGGACATTCCACAGCACTGCTGGCTGCTTTTTCGGACCGGCACTTCTGCGTCACTGTCAAGGACGAGTTGATTCACAGAGCAAATTTCACAATGTTTTACAGTGGCGTTGTGGAACAAACATCCTGCAACATCTTGAAGACATAGAAACCCAAGTATGGCCGTTTCTGGCTGGGAGGTAGTCGTCCAAGTTCTGTTTCCGGTGTCACTGCAGGGACCCCCCCGCATGATTCATAACCACAAAAGTTTCCCCATCAACTTACTTGCCGCAAGCAGCCCTGGCGTTGCCGAGCGGCTGGTGCGGACCCCCAACCCATGGTCATCCTGTCCGTTTTGGTGACCGGCCGCCATCAACAGTAGCACAAAACCTGTGGGAGTCTGGGAGCACGTCTTTTTCTCGATCTTTAAGACAAATTAATTGAACTTCACTCGTGAAGCATTTTGTCCATCTCTTTAAATGGTTGGACTCCAACTTCTTGCCCTTGATCGCCCAAGGCAGCGGTGGAGGAGGAGTTGAATCTCAGGCCGGCTGGGCCGATACGCTTCCGAGATATGTTTGCTACATCACCTCCCTCCCTCCCTCCCTCCCTCCCTCCCTCTCTCTCCCTCTCTCTCGCTCCCTCTCTCTCCCCTTCAGAAGCGAAGAAGACTGCGCCCACCAACAAGACTGCGCCCGCCAAGCGGTCAAGCATGCTGTCAAGTTTCAAGCTTTTGGGTACCAGCGGGGTGATTGAAACATTCACCAGCTGGTAGCCAGATCCGCCTATTTCGACCGAATCAAATTGTTCTTACAAGTCCTGGCAGGTACCACAACTCTGTGGAATCCCTCGTGAGAATCTGCGACGTGGTCACCATCAACTGCCCTCTTCACCCCAAGACCGAGCACCTCTTCAACAAGGAGCAACGTCAGCCATGGATGTGACCCCTGTTTGGGAGAATTGGGGCTGCGGCAGCATGATGTTACAACGCAAAGCTGGTCAATTGGCCCAGTTCACTTCCTCTGCTCTCCAGAGAGGAGTTGCAGGGTTTTCGTTTGGGTGGAGGTTGGAATCTGTTCGCAGAGGAAGTTTGGTTGCCAGGTCACCAGATATTCCTATGGCACCTAGCATTTGTAGTGGACGATCTTCAAAAATATACTGGTAACGTTCATGGGGTCCATGAACACGATTTGCATGCTTATTTTTTAAAATTAGGCGCAGCTCGTGTGGAAGAATGGCTAAGTGTGCTTGTAGACATCGTTGAGGACGTGGTTTTTGCGGAAAGCTCTTTCTGCCCAAACTTGGGTGGGAGAAGACAATCACATTAATGCGTCCCATTTGCAGCAGCTAGTAAAAGGTGAAACATTGGCGCTAAAAAGTGAACGCTATAGGACATCGTCTTGACTGATCACCCGTTGATTGAACCAATCCCTCCAAACTTCAAAGGGATGCTGTGAAGCCAAATCCTGACTCGAGTCGCCAAGTTCTGCACTCGCTCTCCAGTGCGTCGAACCCCTCAGATTTCAAGGACAAATACGGTCGAAGCCCCACGTCTGTCCCAGATCTCCACCAACATGACCCAGAAAATCTGCTGCGAACATCGCTCTCTCTTTGTAGGAGCTGATCGCGTCCATGAAGCCCGGCTCCTACCTCATCAACACGGCTCGCGGGAAGGTCTGCGAAGCGCAGGCGGTGAAAGAGGCCTGCGAAACAGGGCAGCTCGCAGGCTACGCCGGGGACGTGTGGTTCCCACAGCCGGTGATCGTGGCAGCACTGGAGGGACGGAGAAACACTGGAGGCTGGAGGTGTTGCTGTGAGCTGCATCCTCGGGTCGGTTGCTCTTGTTGCTGCAGCGGTGGTTGAGGTGGTTGTTGGGTGTTTGGTGTTGTCGTCCTTGGTCTTGTCGCTTGTGGTTAGTGGTTGGGCCAATTGCATGTAGCTTGCTGCTGGTTGCACCAGGGTGTGTGTTTGGCAAGTTGATTGGTCGGCCGATCACCGCCGCCATCCAATTATCGCCCGTTTTTAAGGGAATCAGTTGGACTTGTTGGCCATCCTTTGTGTTTCCGTCTTTGGATGTGGTAAGAAAGCAGTTCCCCACTCAAAAGGGACATTGCTTGGCAAAACCAATGAATCGTATTGAATAGTGAAGGAGCTATATAGGATCGAGCAAACTTTTCCAAGCTATAATACGCCAGTCAATCTTTGTGGCGTCCGGGGGTGGATTGTGGCAGGTTGCCCAGGTTCGTAGCCAACCCTGAGAATGTGGAGTTGTTTTAGGCAAGAAGCCCGAGGTAACTAGAAAGATGGTGAAGAGAAAGAGGGTCCTTAAAAATGACACAAAAATGATCAAAGGAAAGAAAGCAAGATGAGAAAGACAGCAATAAAGAGCAAAAGCGGAAAGCTTAAGCAAACACACCCCGGAGACTGTCACTGGTGGCAATGACTTCCTGAGGCGCCGAATGACCACCCTTGGCGCTCCATGCCCAACAACGCCATGACGCCTCACGTGTCTGGCACCAGTTTGTCCGCACAGGCCGGGCCACATAGGCCGCAAGGGCGTCAAGAAACATCAACTAATAGCGATGGCCTACAACCTGGGTTTACTCCAGTTTCCCTTCATAGTAGGAGGGCATCTACTTTCAAAAACATGCAAGGCGCAGTGCAACTGTACCAAGAGGTGGCTTGTCCAGTTGCTAGAAACCCTACGCACCGGTAGGATATTCCTGATGTGCGCGGACTGTATGGGCAGGCGATCCTACTTGATGTTGGTTGATTTGAATAACTTGACAACGGCTGTGAGAGCCTTTGTTAGTCTTTGTTCAATAATGTTCAATACACATTCAGCTCTTTCGCTGGTGCGATCCGCAGTTCGCACAGTCCGAAAGTCAGGACATTCCGCGAAGGACTTGATTCCACAGATGGCCAGCTAAGAATTGCTTGGTTAACGGTCGACGCATAGAGATCATACCCTCAAGTGAACAGCGAATGCCTTGCTTGACGCCGAAAGAACCTCTCCCCGCCAGGCGCGCTACGCGGCAGGGGTCCGAGAGATCTTGGAGTGTTTCCTGGAAGGCAGACCCATTCGTGAGGAGCTTTTCCTGGGTCAGTGGACTGGGTGGACTGGGTATTGGATCTAGACAACCACATGGGCTTTTAGTATCTTTTAGTCATGTAGACTCGATGAATCAAACCCGCCTGTTTGGATGGCAAAGCTCTTCATTCCTTTCTACTTCCTCCCGGGCTTCCCACAAGGGTGCGGGACTCGAATTTGGTCGAAGAGTGCTGCGGAACTCCCACGGTGCGGGTTTGGGGGTGGCAGGAGTACCTCATCGTGCAGGGCGGCGGGCTGGCTGGAACCGGAAAGCACAGCTACACTGAAGGCAACACCACGGAAGGCAGGGCGAGGTCCAACTGATGTGTCGAGCGGGCTGGAACCCTCACTGTCGGAACTCCAATCGTTCAACCTGGGTTCGTGTGTCGTGGAATGTCATCTTGACGAAGTGAGCTTTTTGGGGGCGAAATCACTCCAGGCCGTTTTTCTTGTGGGTTGAACTTCCCTGAAAGACCTGCGAGTTGCGCTCCGTTGAACTTCACTATTCCTGCTTGGGGCAACTGGGATGCCTTGTTTGGTGACGACTCATTTCATCAGGTTTGTTTTGCTATGGACATGCATGTTTTGGGAGCTAAACACCTGATTTCTTGGGGCAGGTGCGGCACTCCTCATGTTGGCATTTTGGGAAAGAGCCTCGCTTTCTATTGAACTGCCAGAAGAATCTGCGATTGATTGCGATTGTGTCACGGACAACAAGGTGAGCATTCGGCCGAAAGCAACCCACAGCGGCCCACATGTCTGTTCGCGCCATTTTTGGACGAATTCAAATTCAGCTCCTGCGAACCACCGGGTGGCGGCCCATGAGTGGACCCATAGTTCTACAGAGGTGCATGAGTTCGAAAGAACACCAAGCTGAGAAGCACCAAAGCACCAAAGCCATCATCAAACCACATTCGAAAACAGCCTGCAGAGCTGCTCGGAGAGGGTACCAAGCCTGGTCGGTACCAGGTCCGGCGGTGCCAGTCACATACAGGCGGTTTTCATTGTCCTGCCCGCCCCAGATCAAGGACATCATCGCACTGGAGTTGGGCATAAGAAACACCAGTCAAAGAGGTCAAAGACTACTTCGATTGCATCTCTCATCGGAACCGCTGGAAAACACCTCTCTTTCCGCAGGTTCCGATGAAGCGGTGCACTTCGACAAGGACGAAGCCCTTCAGGCGCGGGAGCGCTTCGGGAGCCGTGCTTCACGGAGGTCGGCACTGACTCGTGCATGGTGCTCCCGGTGCCTTCACTGTTTTCGGTGCCCAAAGGAAAACCAGCGATCTCACCGGTGGCCGGTGGATGGAAAAGACCCGATTCTTCAGCGATCGAATCCAGGCGATTCTTCCCCGTGATCGGGTCCCATTTTTCAGCAGAAGTCTCACTGTTTTGACCGGAAACTTTCACTCTGGTAGACTGGATGACCTGCAGTATCCTTAAGCACAATCTGTCGAGCTGGATAGGTGTGATATGTCATACTTTCTGGGCCGAGCTCGGCGCTCAAACACGAAGACCGGGTGTGCAAATGTGGGGTACTTGTACAGTTGGTGAACGATTGTTTGCAATCTATAGTTGGTGAGTTACTGTAACTTTATTCCACGTTGGAGCTCACAATCTGGGAACTCTAGACCGCACGGGTTGAGATTCGGCTTCCGTTTGGGTGAGGCTCTCGTCCCAAGTCCTTCAGGTTTCATGATCAGAATCCCGGAGCCAGACTCGAACGGCTCAGCTTTGGGACTGATGAGTTACATGACCGGCAGTTTCCATGGAATGGGGTCCCGAACTTGGAGGGTACGGATGCACGTCCGAGCTCAGAACATCCACGCACATGACATCAGTAGTCTGACATCAACGCCCCAACTCCATAAACGTATGGCACCCAACTCCATGGGCCAAATGTTCCGGGAATTTCAGCTGAAAGTTCACCCACTGCAAGGGCTCCTGGGGGTCGACGCACAAGTTCTACCTGTCTACCGGACCGTCGGTCGACGTGTAGTTTTCACCCCGGACCGTCGGTCGGCAGGGTCTCTTTGAACGCCAGGAAGGGCCACCAGTGAAGATGCAAAAGGTTGTGACCGGAGGCTGCTGACTGGGCCCTGCCCAGACGTTTAAGAGGTTCATCAATAAGGGGTTCTTTGAAACAAAAGCTAGACGAGACTTCAAGAATAGCTAACACACATGCAAGAATAGAACAAAGTGAAAAACCAAGGAGACCAAAGGCAAGCATCAAGTATCAAGGCTAAAGTTCCTTCAGTTCAGTTGGCTACTTCGGAGCCAGATCTCGCGATTGCAGTGGCTCATGTATACCCGGAAACATCGCTTTTGCATGCTTTTGCATGTTTCTTGCTGGGACCCTCCCGTCCAACTGCATGGATCAAGCCAGATCTTGTTGCTTGCCAGACCAGCTTTTGAGGCTCAGAATCAGACGAATCAGACGAGATGAAATATTCGGAACAAGGTTTGCTAGTCGAAGGTGTCTGGTGAGTGAATTGCAAGAACTCACCAGTGAAAGCACCTAGCTTTTGAATGGATACTGGATACCACCTAGTGTTTCGTTACAGGTCCACTGGAACCTGCCTTTTTGATGCATCGAAATACAAACTTTGAACAGAAACAGATAGCTTCGAGCTTTCTAAGCGTTTTTACCATCCGGAAAGATGAAAGCGAAACATCAACGTCTTCTTCGAAGCGTTTTCACCCCCGCCTTGACGACCTCAGATTTTGACTTGGCCCACCCCTTCGGAGCGTCTTCTTGCGTGGAACATCCGATGAAGGTTCGCTGGGGCCAAGAGATGCCTTGCATTCAATGCAGGGAGACCCGATGGAGTTGTCTAAGAGAGCAACAAAGCGAGACCAGTTCCGGTGCTGCACAGCGAGTTCCGCAAGTTGCGTTTTTACCTACAAGCGATGGCCTCCAACCTACAAGCATTTCTTTTTTCAAACAGTCCGTCAGTTTGCCCAACTCAAGGCAACTCCCTCCAACAGTAGTTAATGTGGAGCACCTGACAGAAGCACAGGACACAGCAGAAAAAGGAGTCTCCGCATAGGTACAGTCGTGAACAGTGAGTTGTGAGTTGTGAGTTGTTGAACACTCGTCCTTTTTCTTGATTGACCGGACACCAAGTCGATTTTGCGGTGCACATCGATCTTTGAAACGATATCCAGGTGAACGCAGCCCCCGGAATTTGTCTTAAAAGTGGATGAACACTGGCAGTTGGGGGCCGGGGTCTTGTTGGACCCGAATGTGGTTCGCCTACCTGTTGGTTGATCCGTATTTTCTTGGCGAACCTCTGTAAGAACATGTAAGAACAATAGTCTTCCATGCCATTTATGATGTTCTGTTGGCACCCAAAAGCACCAAGACGAGCATTCATCACTTGGTATATAGGGTTCTAATCAGCAACCATCACAAACTATCCACTGGATTCCTAAGTGTGGGTTTAACCCACCAACGCCCTTTTTGTCAGGGTCTCTCACTAACTGACAGGCTGCTCAAGGCTTCCGTCGGGGGGGACCAGCATATCAACAGGATCGAATACCAGCTCCCAGAAAGTTTTCATGATAGCACGCTCATCTTTCACGAGCTGACAGCCAACAGCCTGACCGTGCGGGATGCTTGATCTTGTCAGACGAAATCGGTTGATCCTTTGAACCCGTCGGTTGGTCCACTTGGTAAGACCAAAGAGATCCTTCTACCTCAAAAAGAGTGAAAAAACAGGGGCTGCCCGGTTAAACGTCCTTTGATCCAAGAAGGCTAAGAACTGAGAAGTGTACGTATATAGAAGTAACAAGCCCTGTTGAGAGATTGTTGAGAGAGTTTCTCCAAATTCTGAGAGTTTCATAAGCACCTGGGACCCCAAAAGAGCAAAGACCAGGAGTTCCACAAACATGCCTTGAAGAAAGAAGAGTCAAGGTTCCTTTTTTTGGTATATCGACCTCACGGAATGTGGATACTTCATGATGCTTCTCCAAATGGAGAGTTAAACGATGCCACACAGTTGCGGTGAGCTAGATGGATGGTTAAAGCAAACATCTACATGATTTGTGCCAATTGCCAAAACATTGAACCATAGTGAGTGTCAAGGCAACCACAAGAGTTCAAGAGTTGCTAGGACTAGATTTCGATTCCGGCATTGCTGTGCTCGATTCATTGCTGATTAGCTTCAAGCAGATTGCAGATCAGGTGTTTGGCGGGGAAGACCCGAGTGCCTTTTTTTTTCTGTCAGCACCCAGTTAGTCCTGCAACTCCTGCTTGATGGGAAAGCATGTCAAAGGATGACTTCGAAAGACCTTAAGAAGTGATGGTTTCTAGGCTTCGCACGACTTTTCCAAAAGAACAGGGAGGTTTTCCTTTTCATGCGCAAGTTGCCGTGTGTTGCTCATGGTTTGGACCTCAATGTCGGTCTGGAGCCTCAGGCTCCGGTCGAGTGTCCAAGAAGCACGGAGCACAGCCCAGAGAGAAGGACTCTAGGATTGGTGGAATTGGCGTTTGGAGGGTTTTGGGCCCCGCAATGTCCAGCTTATCCATCGTCATTTCAGAATGAAACATGTCACGCGGCTCCTCTCGTATACTGTATCCTGAAGTCGCCAAGTGAAGTCCACTCCAAGTCGGCACAAAGTGTCGCACGTCAAAAGCATGAAGGGAAATCAACCGATGGGAGGGCAAGACGATGGCTCTTCCAAGATGCCAATTCTTCACGTGTCGAAGATTTCATTGTTCGGTGACCACAAGGGACGTGTTTCAGTGACCCGGCAAAGATTTCAATGGACCTTGCGCGGCAAAAATTGCAAAAGCCCAAAGACAAAGGACACCGCAAAGGAAATTGCGGGGCTGGCTACGGTGAGGGTGCTGGAGGCCTCAGGACGAGTATCTGAAGGACCTTTACTGGAAGCAGTTTGGATCTCTGAAGCACCTGAAGTACTAGGAGCAAGGACGCTACCAGGGGCTCCTGGCCTTACTACTAGGAACAAGATGGAACAAGATCCAGGAGTCACATGTTGGGGTGGTGTTTACTCCCATCCAGTCAGTGGATGTTCTGGGCATCCCTAACCTCCATGAAGCACCTCCATTAAGCACCCCTTTGTGACTCCAGGATCTTGACTTCGTAGTAACAAGGTGGAGGATCTCTGGAGTTTACCCGCTTCCATTTTCTTGAACTCATTTCCAACCTTCCAACCGCCCCTCCCCGCGGGTTTTTCAAAGACCGGGGTCGCCCACCCACTCCGGAGAGCCGACCCCACTCGCCGCGCCTGGGCCACTCGCAGCGGCTCAAGTTGGTGCGGGAAGCTGGGCCGTGGAGTGTGGAGACGCTGAAGCGAACCCAGATCTAGCCACCATGTTCAGCGCCTCTGATGCTGGAGTTTGGGATGGGGGGCCGTGGGCCAAAGTGGGTTTGAGGTTTCCATCATTTTCCAACAGAGGTCCTTAAAACAGAGGGCCGTAGAAGGATCAAGCATCCAAGGTTCTAAAATCCAATCTCCAACATTCTCCAACACTCATGCGCTATATAAGTTCAAGTCTACGGAAGTGTTACTGAAACGAAACTGTGTGACTGACCTGATCCTTCGCCAGCCGAGAGAAGAGGCCCCCACGAACTCAGAGAAGAGAACATCAGAGCGTTGTGACACAAGCGGGAGGCAGGTACTCCAAACAGAGTGCTCCAAACAGACCTTGGGGCCGTTGGCCGCCACGACAAACCGCATTGGCCCCTAAAAGATCGTAAAGCTTGAAGAGAAGCTTTCAATTGCAAACAGTTGACTCCAAATGGGCGTGTATTAAAATAGGGATACCGCCCAAACACTCCAAATGAGTTCTTTGAGACTAAGAAAAGCGGTTCCAAGTTCAAAGCTCCCACGAAGCGTTCCCGTGTACAACCTAAACAGCCGCGCACCTCTACAAGTGGATCGCAATTTGGACGTTCACAACCAAGAGTGCAGGCACACATCCATGGCCAGTGGATGCTTCCTTCCCTGATGCATAGCTTCGTTGGACAGAGCATCAGAGAGCTCTGTCCGCCCCTGCAATCGAAAAGTTCAACAAAAGCCGACAGGCGGACATTTGGCAAGAGATCGTATTGAATCAACACTAGGTGAGCAGATGGTGCTGCATTTCTTGGCATGAATTTCTGGTAGTGTAGACGATTGATAACCAAAACCCGCCGGTTTACGCCACATAATCGTGAGATGGTGACCGTCTGCCGCGTCCGAAAAGGATGCTCTTTCCAAAGTGTTTCACTTTCCAAGATGGAAATCGGGGGTCTGGTTTGTTCTAGCTCGCAAGCTCACGACGGCTCTCTTGGGTCTATTTGGTGAACCAGGCTCCCTCGGCTTTGAAGGCCCCCCCCCACATGTGAATATACTTTTGTTGTCGGAAACTGGCGCTGTGCCTCAGCTCCAGAGGTCCTGGTGAAACGTGGTCTTGTTTGGGGCCGTGACACCAGAACAACGGCTGTGTCTCTTCTCTTCTTCTCCATTTCTGGGTGGACGAACAGACGGCAATTGCCAGCAAAAAGTAGCCACTGTCTCACTTTATCCAGAAGCAGCCTTTAGAAGAACAACACGCTCAAGAAGAAGGAGGCGAGAATGCATGGATCAACGCACAGCACACCAACCGGAATATTCGGCACGTGGCAAAGCCACAGCTGAAGCAGAAGAAGTGGGTCCAGTAAAGGGTGCAGAAATTGTGCTGGCCTGGGTTCCAGTTGATGTTGCATTTCCATTGTGGCTTGCAAGTGGCAATGCTGTGTTTTGATAGAACAGGTTATGTTTTTGACTGTGGTGGAACTTGCTTTTCTAAGGGGATCTCGAGGTTGAGTCAAGCACGGTCATCAAGGTTGGGTTGGGATTTGTTTATGTTGCGTTCTCATTGGTCGAAGCTTTTGGTGTGACTTTCGGGAAGCTGTGGTGGGCGGAGCTCCATGGGGGAATGCATGAACCCACACAAGTTGGTGGAACTCAGTGGTTTGCCTGTAGCCTTCTTTTCGGCATCTAAAATAAAGGTTGACCTGGCTTTGTAGTGTAAAAATCTGAGGCATCAATGGTGGTTGGAAGTTCTTTTGAGAGCAGCGGGTGGAACATTTACTTTGTTCACCAGATAGCGATAGCTGGTGCTGGGTGCCGGTGCTGTGAGCACTGTGAGCTGGCTGTGCTGTGAGTTG